AATTCATCATTGGTTCCTTTACAATTTATCTATTGTGAAATATAGAATATATTTTATATAATTGCACTTACTTAACATTTTCACGTAGTTGTTTAACTAAACGAACATTAACATCAGCTTCCAATAAAGCTCGACATATTTCTCCCAAAGCTTCATTTAAAACTTGTTCATTAATAATAGTTGCATTACTTAAATTTCGTAATGCTGATGAAAGACGTCGACCAAGATCAGCGAGAACCATATTTCTAAATTTATCTAGAATTAGACATACAATCATACATACTTTTTATTTGACAACAAATACATTTATATATATATATATAAACAGATTATCGTTTAATACAAACGAGAAACGAAAAAGATTATTAATGAGAAATTGCTCGATAAAAAATATTATATGGTTTAGACATATGACTCCAATATTGTTCAAGTAATTTATCAAGTGTCAATGTATTTTCAATAGGTATATCATCATTTATTTTAATAAACCATTGAAATTCTTGTTCAATAAATGTTGAATTTTGTTGTTCAATTTTCATTCTTGTATTTATAAACTTCGACAAATGATTTATAGTTGCATTTAATGGTGTTAAAATTTTTCTTGTTGTATATATATTAAGATTATTTAATGGTTTAAGTTGTAATTCAATATCATTTATTGTTGGTGTTGAACCAGCTGATGATGATGATTCTGAAATACGTTTTTTCTTTTTTTCTTTTGTTTGTTGTTGTTGTTGTTCATCATCCGATGATAAACTTGCACGTATTGGTTTTTTTGAATGTTTATTACGATTATTCAATAATAAATCATCATTATCATTACGTATTGGAAATAATTTTGATATTAATGCATCAATATTTTGATCACGACGTAAACATCGTTTTGATATTAATTTTTTTCGACATGTTGGACATTCTTTATTTCCACTACGTAATGCTGTTTCAATACAATCACAACAAAAACGATGTAAACATTCTTTTGTTGTACGTGTATTACGTAAAAGATCAAGACATATTGGACATGTTAATTCACTTTGTAAAGATTTTGGACTTATAAGTAATTCTTCATCATGTAATAATTCATGTGGTTTACGTTGTTGTTCATATGGTGTTAAATCCCATGTTAAACCAGTTTTAAAACCAGATGAATTATTTGGTGTATCGGATGAATTCATTTGTGATGAATTTGAAACGTTTGTACTTGTTGAACGACTAAAATAGTTTGACGAAACAAACTTAGAGAATATATAAGAAAAAATAATAAAGAATTTACATCATTATATTGATTGAATATTAACAAATTACTAACATTGATGAATGAAATTTTCGAATGAAAATCTGAAATAAAATATTAGTGTTTTTTTTCATTCATATAGCCCCTTCTTTCCATCAACGATACTCATGTAGACACAATCATTGATGGATGTTATCATTATAGTATATCACCTGTTATGGATCAAAAGAAGTGCAATATAAACCTTAAAAGGTGAAGTATCAATTTTTTTCGACAAAGTCTACAATGTAAACTTGGCTATTATCATATAAGAACATAACTTGCTTATTTGATGTAGAGAGTGGTTCATAAAATATAATTTTTCTTAGCGAAATTTATATTCTGTGCCGTAGAGAAAGTAATGATTTCGTAAAAACAAAACAAAAATATATGGATATTTATATTATAGTAAGAAGGAAGAAATAAACAGATGACGAAAACTGCCAACATCAACCAATGGCATGTAATAGATGTTGTTATTGTTAGTTAGCATTAGTAATTTTAATACATTGTAAAATATTATTAAAAAGTTGAAATATTCTTCTAAAAATAAAAATCAAATCATATCAAATATGTCACGGCATTTTGATTAATAGCGACATCTACAAATGAACTTGAAATTTTAGTCAATCACAACCAATTAAATAGTGACTGTTATACTAAATAGAATATGTTTGCTGAAAAGTAAATAATAGGCTTCTTGCTACAAATAATAGACATAATTCTTCTTGTATTTGATTTTGAATATGAAACAGAGCTTCAAACAGTACGAATCTAATATTTTGGTACAACGAAAGTGATAATGATGAAAGAACATGTTTTCAAATTCTTTAAAGATTGTACCAGCTGATTTTTGTGCATAATCTGCTGAGAAAAATCGAAAAATATTTCGGAAGAAAAAGACGACCGTTCTCAGTGCGTATCTCTACATTTGCCATTGATTTCAAATGATAATCTCATTGATGAACACATTTTAGAAAGCAACTTTTTTTTTTACCAGTCTATAGGAAATTTTCTCCTCTTTTGAAACATATATATAGACTTTCTATTTATTACACATTCATAAAATAACAAAGAGGTACAGTACAAGAAAATGCTGATGTTTGTAAAGACTTGTGAAAAAAGAGACCTTGAAGACAAAAATTATTTTAGTTTTATTTTTGTCAACTCATAAAAAAAGTGATCTACGACAGTAGTTAGTTTATTTTTTATGAATTGACTATAAAGACTCTCGTAAACCAATAATTAATTATAATTTAGCGTTATTGTACAAAAATTTCTCGACAAACCCATTCAAATAACCGTTAAATGATAAGACGAGTGTTTCCTTTTATTTTTGCATCATATTTACGCATGTATGTATATCAGAAAAAACTGTTTACATGTTGAACAAGCAAAAACGTTCCTATCAATCAATAAAAAAGAAAAGAATCTTTGTTATGGAGTGCTTTCGTCGAAAAGAAAGGCGAGTTAATATTTTTGATGTTGGTAGTTTACAGAAAAATATAGACTTAATTTGTAGTTTTTTTTTTTTCGTCTTTCCTGCATCATTCTATACATGAGTATACGGCAATTAGTTACATACGGTTTAAAAGAGAAGTACATATAACAAGTAATAGAAAACTCTTCCTTCCCGAATGTTTGTATTGAAAATATTGATCAATATTTCGTAGTATTATATTTTTGCGTCGTATGTTAAATTCAATTCAATACTTATTTGATTTTTATCTATATGAATTTCAAAAACATTTTTATCTAAGAAAAAATGATTTGATTAGCCAGATTATTTTTCTATTCGATCTAATATTAAAATGAGAAAAATGCCAGATGCTTTCTATTCATTGAATCAGCCATTATCAAGTGATTTTAAGTTTGGTACAAAAAATATAATCGCTTTTGTTAGTATATTTATTTATTTTTTTAACAAACAATAAATAACAGGTATATGGAATTCAAACTTGTTGCGAAGTTCACAATTGCACTGAGAGATGAAATATTTATTTTATCTATATTTTTTTCTGAGAATGAAACGCTTAAAATGGTGACAAATCAATGATGTTTCTCATCTACTACTACTGGAATCCTTACTTTGCTTCATTTACTGTTTTATACGAACAGTAGAGTGATGATACCTATGAACGAGTAGATACGATAATATTGATTAGCATTAATACTTTAGGCTTCATAGGCAATTGACACTGCCATTTTTAGAGACATTACAGAAAATCCAGAACACGGGATATGAAAAACAAAAACGTCTTACACACATTATGTCAGGAAATTCTTAAACTATCAATTGACAAAAAGAACTATTAGATTATTCAAAATGGGCATCTTTTGTTCTTTTTAATTGCTTTTTTTATTAACGAGAAATATATATTTAGATGATGTGCTATGCAATAAATATTAGCGAGAGTTGCTGATATTAGATAAAATGCATTTCAAAATTTTCACATGAATCAGTTAACCAAGAGATTGTACGATATAAAATGGCAACTAAAGTGGCTAATTGGGAGTAAATTTATATACATTTGGAGTCTATAGTTGAATAATTGCATGATAAAGGTATTGATCATAGGATTGTACAAAATGAAACTTGTTGGAAAATAATAAAACTTTTTTGATTATTTGTTATTTTTATTTGCTCTTTTGATTTTAAAAGAATCAATTCTAATTTTAAAAAAGTTCTCAATAAAAATATTTTCTTCATTAAACATTAACCCATAGTCTGTTAGCATTCAAAAATTTAAGTGTATATGCTACTATTTCTTAGTTTTAGTCTAACTGAAAAACTATTCAATAATGATTAGTTGAGTATCATGTTACTTATCTATCTTGTCATGTAATCAAATATATGTTCAAGTTTTATTCATTGAAGCGAATTCATTTATATTCAAAATCACGAATGCTAAATCAAGACGCGGATTCACTTACAAAGGTACTGTAATCGACATATTTTCACTTGTTATACTTATTTATTTTGTTACTCAAAAATCAATATTGTATCAATCACTTCATCTGACCACTAGAATCGACGTCAACTCTTTTATCAATGTAACTGATGGCTCTCGAGCGTTGGTACACCGATGATTACTCTATCAAGTTACCATACTTGTGCTATCAAGCTCTTGTACTGCTGTTATTGAATCTTTCGTTCCGTTATGTATTCATGAAGATCATAGAGTACTAAAAAGGATACAAAAAATTGATGTGAAAATGTTATATAAACACAGATAAAGGATTTGCATGCACTTATCAGTGGAAACCCTTCTATGAACGCGTAAAAATTTTCCACGGAAATGCTTGCCTTGAGAAAATGATTCCATATAGTCCTGCTTAGTTTCAAGAAATATTTTATATTAGTATTGACATCTGCATGGTTTCGCTTGCCAGCATGTCCGTACGACAGTACTTGGCGGATCCATGCGAGAAATTATTATATATTTGTGTAACCATGAGGAAAAAGCAACGTCAACACCAATGTTTTGAATTTGAACGCAAGTTTTTGCATACTCTATGCGCTTTCAAATGTATTCGCGTCATTTACTCTCGACTAAGAACAGAATAAGAAAAAAGTGAAGGTTGATTGTTCGTGTAGCACGTGCTCGCTCGCTCGCTCACTGGCAAGTCATTCTCTTTTTTTTTCTTTAATATCACAAGCAACGTTATATTTCTGTTTTATTCTTTCTTCTTAGAGTTGATAAACACAACATTTTCTTTCAGTATCATGTGGTTCGTGCTTTTACTAGCGGCTTTCATAATATGGATATTTTATCGACTCTTTAAATTTTGGATTATCGATCCATGGCTCATTCATCGTGATCTATGGGCTCAAGGTATTCCGGGACGGCATATTCCAATAGTAGGCGAAATATTGCACGTTCGTAAAAGTATTCTTGCCGAAAACCCACTTGAACATAGCACAGTTTTGGCGGCACAATTCGGTAACTATTATCGTGTTTCGTTTGGTCCCGTTGCTCGTTTAGATACATTTGATCCAGCCTTGATTAATGGTGTTCTCAAAACCAATGCTCGCGCTTACCACAAAGCATACATCATGCGACTAGTTCTAGGAGTATTATTAGGAAGAAATAATCTTTTAATGGCCGAAGATGAAATCCATGCTCAACATCGTCGATTGATAGCACCTGTATTTCAACATCAAAATTTAAACTCTATGATATCTCTCATGGTTGACATTACATTGGATCATATTCAAAAATGGTCGGCTGCTGCTATTGTTGCTCATCATGATAACAAATCACTAACTCTCAATATGCATGAGAAGATGGCACGGTTGACATTAGATATTGTTACAGGCTGTGTATTTGGTACGGAGATAATCTCTGATGAAAATGTGCACGAAACAATTTATCGAGCTGTAACAGAATCACTTGAATTAATGGAAAAACGTTTGTATAATATGATTGCTATCATTCCAATTATCAATCGTCTTCCATTGTCAAGCAAACGACGTATTGATAAATGTATTTCTGAAGGAAAAAACATTATTCGACGAATCGTCGACGACCGTAAGAAAGGATTGACAAAGTCAGCTTGTAAAGGTTTGAATCATTCATGCTTCATCTTCTCATCGATCATCTATTCTATGTTGACCGATAGGTCCTGATTTGCTTGATCTACTCTTATCAGCTCGCGGTGAGGACAAAACAAGCAAATTCACTGATGAAGAAATCTACGAAGAGGCACTAACTTTTGGTGAGTCTCAAGTGTCAAATATTTTTAGTGAAGAACAGAAATGCTATTATTCTTATGTAAAAACTTTTGATCACAAGTTAGATTTAATTCGATTTAGTCAGCTGCAAAGACAGATTTTTCTAGTTTCTCTTATTTTTTTCAAGATTCAGTTTGATTAATTTACTTTATTAATCGGTTTGCAAAGATTAATCATTTGAAATTGATTTTATCGAATCAGAAAATTCAATATTTTGAGATAAAAAAATCGATTTAAATCCAATAAGGAGCAGACCTTCAAAAAAAAGGGAAGTTTCGTAATTTCCTTTTCGGAAAACTGCAAATATTTGTGCAAGTCGTTCCACTTAAATCGATTTCCATCAGACTTTTTGTTAAAAATGTTCCTATGTGCTTATCGAAAACAATAAACTTAAACACTTATCTTATCATCTAGTTACTGCTGGACATGAGACAACATCGACATTGATGACTTGGACTCTGTACAATCTGGCCAACAATCCAGATGTCTGTCGCCGATTAGAAGCAGAAGTAGATTCGGTGTTGAAAGACGACGAAGAGATAACATCGTCGACTCTGTCACTCTTAACTTACACTGAAGCGGTATTGAAAGAATCCTTACGGCTTCATCAGCCAGTACCTGGAATAGTTCGCACTGCAGTTAAAGATAATATACTAGTCGCTAGTGACGGAAAAGAAATTCATATTAAGAAAGGAACTGGAATTTATATTAATTTCTACATGTTGCATCAGTAAGGTTTTTATTTCAGCTACTCTTCTTATTTGATCTATGTGAAATAGCTCGGACAAGTATTGGCACGAACCATTCAAGTTTGACCCATCCAGATTCGATGACAATCAATCAGACAAATTATTCTATCCATTTTCTGCAGGACCTCGCTCCTGTGTCGGACAAAATTTTGCTATGTTAGAAGCTAAAATAATGTTAGCACTGATGATTCGACGATTTCGTTTCGAACTTGAGCCGGGTCAAAAGCTTGTGCCAGAAATTGTCGTCACTATGAGGTTAAATCGATCGTTTTCTGCATTGTTTTTTTTAAAGAATTTGTTTTTAGACCAAAGTATGGTATGTGGATGCGAGTTTCGCCTCGGTAACATTCATGATCATCAATTCAAATAAGTATTCGCGTGATATACTTCAATATTTAATTGATACACTTAACATGGTCATATTTCATGAAAGATATATATTGTTGGATTTCGAATGTGAAGATCTTATCATACAGTGACTTGCCACTCGTTCTCTTTTGCCTTTATTATGTTGAATATTTCTCTTTTGGCTTCTTTGTTGATAATACCTCATGTATTCCTATTTTATCTTCGAAAAGCATGGAATAATGTCAAATGACTAGTCGTTATGCTTCTTGTGTTCGCTTTCAAGTTATAATATTCTCTTATTGACTTGCCAGCATATATAATCTTTTTGGACATAAATTTTTTGATACAATCTGCATGGTACTATACTTTATACCACACGCCACGGAAACGGAGCTATTTGTTTAGGCCAATAAGACAACAGTAAATGAATCAATCAACAGTAGCCTAGAAAAAAAATGACATCAGAAATACAATACTCACGAGTATGATAACATTGATTCAAAATATTTTAATTTGTGTTGTGCTAGAACTCAATTTTTTTCTGCTCTTATGAAATACCACTTCATTACTCTAACATGGTTAAACTCTATCAGTGGCGACTACCTCTCTGAAACAAAGATACGATGAAGCCTAACTATTTCGAAATTTGATTTGTACTGAAAGTTTTCTTGTCGATTATCTAGCAAACATGAGTATTGAGAAAGATTGATGACATTTTCAAGATGTTTTAGTAGATACAACTGTAAAAATTAAAGAGAGAAAAATGTCACGTTTGAAAGCATGATACAGTTTCATCAATATCAAGTTATTTTTTAAAGAAAATATTGGTTTTCTTGGCGAGATATAATGTCACTCTTCGTATTTCTCTGACGTAAAAAATTAAAAAAACACAGATAATTCAATAACATCCTGAGATGTTTAGATGATTGAGTATCTCAAATCCATAATTGCGATGACCATAAATGCTCGTACATGGACCGTAAATTACCCGTTTTGTAGGGATAGATTACGACGAAATACACATGTCTGTTATACTGATATCCGTACCACAATACGGCCTTTTCTTTAACGGATACGACAGAACACATTGATCTTTTTGACTTTATCTTTATGTGAACTACCATACAAAGTGTACAACGAAAAAACGACACACATGAAGCAGATCTTATCCTTTCTCATTACTCAGATCGATAATTTCGCATTTCGCGTTCGACAAGAAGTAAACTAGAAATGACACATAAAAGAAAACGCATTTTCCTATTGTCTAATCGGTTTCAGCTTTTTAAAAGTATTTAGAATAATGACGGTGTTAAAAAATAGTCCTCTTTCATTCAGCCATATTTTTCTGCGTGCAAGTAAGTTTAGGTAAAGCAGCTTTCAACAAGGAGACGTTTAGAGACGAAGAAAGTCTTTGTTGCGTACTAATAGCATGCCTACGAGCATGAGCTATTGATACTCTTTATAGTTGAAGACAGATATGTAACGTCTTGTGCTTTTGCAAGAGAATACTATGTAAATAGTAGAATATATAATTTGTTACGATGTTATCAATCTACCCTCCCACCTTTCACTTGATTTCTTTTTGTTAGTGCTATACACTAATAATTCAAGTAAAAACCTTATGACTCGCTTAAATCCAGCATTATCGCCGAAACTTTCATGAGAAAGCATCTCGAATGATTGTAGTCTTGACCTCAGCCATGTAGTAATGATTGTGTCATATGTGGTCTAATAGAATTGACTGTTTTTTTTTCAATCATAGTCATGGTCTGCTGACTGACAAAAGTGTAGAACGAATATGTGCCATTTCTATGGCCCATACTTGTCAGCAAGCAGAGTGAAATGTTTTCTAACCAGCATGAATTTTTTCCCATTGTGTGAAGTTACAACTAGACTATAAAAACGCAGTGCATGCATAGTGAATTGTATTCTGTATTACTACAATGTCATTTAAACAATTTCAATCAATTTTTTATCTAGCTTTTGACATTTATGGTCTCATGAAATAGACACTCGAAAAAAATGCCTGAAAATGTGAAAACTGATCAGAAAAATATCAAATGGGTAAAATCTGATGGATGGCTTTATCGATCTCATAATGCTCGATCAAAGTAAACGAAGATTCCGATTGATACATTTATTGTTATTATCTTCATGCTGTACATTTATTTGTCTTTCAGGTCTTTCTGCCCAAAATGTGCTCATCAGAAAAAGTTAAAAGATAAATCTGGTTAGTGTTCGGTATACACAACGCTCCTTTTTCGTGCTCGATATACAGAACAAAAGGATGCAAATGGAGTTATCTGGGGATCTGGTCAAGTTCAAATGAAAATCTTTGAACAAGGATGTCAAACATGTGGAACATATCGTTCAGGTTGTTTGGATCAAGAGGGTATTGAGCAGGCATTCTATTGGCTGCATATTTGGTTACTGAAGAAATTCTATGATGTCGAGATCTATGGTGACGATTGTTCCGATCAACCAAAAGATGAAAGATTTAGTCGTGGACCACACGATTCCAAACGATGTAAAGCGTGTGATCAAGGATGGTGCAAATATCAGCAACAGAAAAGATCAGATTCCAAAATGGACCAGAAAAAAAGAAAACAAAAATAGTAACTTTAATTTTTTTTGTTTTACTTGTACATGTAATCGTTTTCTTCCAATAATAGACAAGTTTATATTGTGAACACTATTCTGAGATATTTACTGTAGAAGTATATTCTAGTCACTATTTGAAAATGGTACCGCCTAAAAAGAGAAGGAGCTAAGATGAGCAGTGGTTCGTCGTCTTTAAGCTTGACTAGTTTTCATAAATTTTTCAACAATATCTTGACACCGCCTCATCAAAAATTAAATGGAAATAAGAGGACTTTCTTAGAACCTATACTTTCCCTCATACATGGGTTAATTCACCGTCGAACACTTATAAAGTCATATATATTAACTAATTACGTTTCTTCAAAATGATGATGATTATCTATAAATAACGATGCGTGCTCGGCTTACTATCCTAGATAAACATAGTTCTCAATAACGTTAAGAAGAACCTTTACGAATTCAAATTCATACACTACGAGTCAGAACATATTGTTACTTTACTTCATTTTTGAATCATTGATGCGATTTGTTGTATATTGATTACAAAGGTTTTATTGTAGAGTATTGATGAAAGATTTCTTGGATATTTTCTTAGACTTCCTCCCAAAGTTTAGGTTAAAACTAGAAATTCTTTCTAACAATATTGAACTAAAAATAAATCCAGTTTATCAGATCTAGTTCGATATATGACTAATAATTGTGAAAGCTTAATATGTTTAGGATGAAAATCTACTTTAACAGAAACTTAGAAAGTCATCTGAAAAGCATTCGATCTATGCAAAGACTAATTATGCCTAAATTGAACATGTTGTCATTACTCATCTGATACCTCGAAAATATAAAAAGTGTTTTGTATAAAAGATACTTAGATTTTCAAAATAAGCACTAGTCCAGAATTCGTTTTAATTTTTACCAAACTCATCTATGTATTTAGTTAATGATTAAATTATTTAATTGAACAAGCTTTAGTATTTTAAATGTCTTTCGTTGTCGAGAATAGTGAAGTTCTCAAAAAGAACACTTCGAAATGTACAAAAAGACATTGTTTTGTATTGACATGGAAAGTACGAAATACAGGTTTTTTTACCTAAGCATAAGCATGACAGTATTTGATTCAATATATAAATATAGATACGAAATACTGTTGTTTGCAAAAGTCTGAAAAATGCAAGTACAAATACTCTCATTTGAACTCTAATAAGAATACTAATATGTCCAATACTATATCAAGAAATATAACGAACCTTACACAAATTAGCTCAAATAGTCACAAGTTATTTTTCTGATAGTATACATAGAACAAACATCTATCACACATCTGTCATCATAAGTAGGCGTGTGACAATCACTATTGTCTCTTCTGCTTATCATGATAATAGTATGTACTTTTATGATCGTATACTGCCCTATTTAGCACAGATAGATGGTTAGATTATTCATTGATGATTAATCATTAGATGGTTATTTTAATCACTTACCACTTATCGGATAATTGGTACTTGTGATGAATGATAAGTGGTATTGCTTACTAACCAGATAAGCGGTAACTAGTTTACATTTAATTGAAGACAGGCCATTCACGCCACATTATTGATGATACCAGTAAAAATCTTCAGTGACTTTTTCGGTCAGAAGCAGTCTGTTGCAAGAAAATCAATGAACCGTATAACGTTTGACTGATTTTTTTCGGGCTTGAGCAATTCAAACATGTAGTTGCCTTCTCGAAGTTGTGCACTTAATTTTTTTGACTCAAGAAAGAATATTTTGAGAAACTAACAACTTTTTTTAATAAAGCTTGATTACCCGTTTCCAGAGTAGAAATAAGTTAACCTAAAGATACGTACATAGCTTTGAGAAACCGATTACAGGTTTGAATTCCTCGAACTCGATTACGTTTGACCAAACTTTATGAAACAATTGTTATTTTAAGAAAACTTTCTTTCTTTTGCTAAAGTCGCAAATTTTTCGCTGCTAATATAGTTAGTAACGTAACAGTCGAGTAACTTTATCTTTCTTCTTTTATTCGAGACCGAACGAACGCTCATATAAACGATCATGAGCATGAGTTATACAGTCAAATTTTGCACTTTCTTTTTGACTTGTTTCGTTTTTTTAATACTTCTTCTTTACTTTCTTCGACTTTCCTTTTATTTTTGATTCACTTTCTTTTACTTTCTTTTTAATATTCTCTTTATCGAACGGCATAAAAAATTCGACTCACTCTTGTACAACATAAAAAACAAAAAAGAAAGTTTCTCTACTTTCCTTTTCATTCCATTCCATTCCAGAAAGAAAAGGCAAAATTCAATTAAATTTCTCTTTTATTCGGAAAGGAGCGTATTTAATTCACTTTTTTTTCGAAACGAAAGTGAAAATGCCTCCCTTAGACTCTGAAATCCGATGGTATTCTAAGGGCTCCAAGACTATCTTAAAGTCTAGATTCTATAGAATTCCATAGAGTTGTGTCGGACATCATAGAGAATCTATAGAAAGTCAGGATTTTAGGATATCACTCTTTACTTATTGCCTATATGACTGAATACCTAGTTAACTAGTCACCTAGTTGCTGAAACTACTGTTTACTTGCCTAGAAGTATCACTTACTGCAAAGAATAACGAAAATATAACACCCATAATCACGAGCGTCAATAGTAAATAATGTGAATAACTGTGACAGATGTTGTCAAATACGTCAACTCAATATTGTGATGCCGGTGCAATACAGATCACAAACAGTAAACCATGAACTACATTTATTCTATGGTACACCACAATTATAGTATCTATACTTTAGAGAGAATTCAGCCATCGAAGGATATGTTTTGCCTTTTATTATCTTTCACAAGATGTTTAGATAGTTCCTCTACAATTCATCGAGATTATCCCATAAATGAGCTCCCTAGAAGTGTCTTTCTTGAATAGATGCATATAATGAAGTCTGTTCTATGTCATACCAAAGACCGCCATATTTCGATATCTTTTTCCGTTCGAGTGTTATTCATAGAGTCAAATACTCGAAAAAACCTACTTTTATTATAGTGGTACTCAACAGATGAATATTCTTATGAAGTCTTATTGTTCTTTATCATTATCCATGTGTTCTTGTGGGAAATTTTAGCATTGAAAAAAATCATTAGTGGGACTGATTTTGGTAGAAGTATTCACAATTAAACCTTCATCGTTGTATTTTGCTTATTGCAAAAAATACTTTTTAATGAGACAAGTATGACATCCAAATGAATATGATGACCATCAGATTTATCAAATCAATTAATAGCATCTTCGACAGGTTTTTTTTACATTAATAATGTGAATCATTTGAATAAACAGTAGCTACCCCATCGGCAGTTACCTTGTTGTGTGCTCTAACATGCTATTGTAAATATGCAAATATAAATAATCTTGAAGAAATAACCAATCCACGAGGCAAGGTAGGAAAGCAAAAAATTTACCGATAAAAAAGTGTATCTCTTGAATTATGCGTCTAATACAATAATACTGTATCAATCATTTTCAAACAAATCAGAATGATGGTTGATAGAAACTCGTCGGATACTACAGTAGCAAATGATAACAATATATATGGACAACGAAATGAAACAATAGACATGGAGTATATGAGATCGTCATTTTTTTCGATGACACTTGTATTTATTGTTTTTTAGACTAATCCCTCAAGAAGGAGAAAAAGTATCTCAAAAAACAAACTTTTGGCAACGATTTCATACTAAACAACAAGATAAAACACCAACTCAAGTAGTGAGCATCCCAAGTCTGGTAAATCATAAATTGTTACTAATATTTTATTCATTTAAGTTACTCTTTGATTTTTAGTTTCGATATGCTACTGTTCCTGAGTTATTTTACATAGTGCTAGGAACTATTGCTTCCATAGCTTTTGGTGTTTGTCTTCCATTAGCATTAATACTCTTTGGTGATTTCGTTAATTCATTTATTGATCGAGCATCTCATCTATGTTCATTTAACTTCACATCTCTCACTCAACACTATTGTCCATCAAATATTACATTAACATCAACTAATTTTTATACAACAATATCGTAAGAAAGTGTACTCAAATATTGCATGAGATAAGGACGATGATTATATTTTTAGATTGTGCAACGTCACTAAACTAAATTTTACTTTTATTCCCGATGATCTCAAAGATCGCATAAAAACACAAATACTCATGATGATAATTATTGCTTGTGTTAATTTTATATCTGGTTATATTCGAGTTATATTGCTAGAAATATCAGCAGAA